ACCAAGTAAACTGTAGAGGAAAATGTTTGCTTTGTAAAAAGTCCTTATGGGTGAGTCTCACCACTCAGACGCCCCTGGGATGTTATTTCAGGCTAACGAGACCAGACTCTTCTCTAAACGAATGGGCAAAGTGCCACACCAGCAGTATCAGTGGTCAGTGGGACATAAAAACTGCATGTTAAAAATATTCAGTCAAATTTGATGAAAGTAAAGTTGACTGACCAGGGTGCAAAGCTACAGGTGAACTCACATGGACAACCTCTGTTTGTCTTCCTTGCAGTGATCAGTCAGTCTGTGTGAGATCCTTCACCTGTTATGTATTAATGATTTCTATTTTTACTCACATGGACTATTTGAGTATGTTTACTGGATTATTTACTGTAATGTACTTCCTTAGTGTACCATTAGTTTTCTCGATTTTAATAGTCTTTACTGAATATGATGTGTTTTGTAAGTAACATTTTCACAGAACACTTTTGAACATTTCTGAAAAGAATATTTCACATTTGATGCATTTATCTGACAGCTATAGGAAATATATTTTACAGATTCTGACTTAACACAAAAAACACGTAATTAATTGCTAACATAGGATGCTAGTATGCATTGTTGTGGATTAAAACTACTCAAAAGTATATTAAGGAGCCAAAATGAGCTCAACTTTCATCAGCTCAAATATTAAAGAAGACAGTAATATTAGTGTAATACTGGCAGGACTCATTCTTCTACTAGGTAAGACCTTACCTTTGATTTTTGTACTTGGATTAAATTTTGATTTAAGCAGATTTTTATGATGACATCGTTCACTTTTTAATACAGGATCTATTTGTATTGTATTGATACTTTTACACGAGTAAACGATCTAGAAGAGTACTTCTTCCATGAAGGGTGATGTATAATTTTACACTTCTACAACAGACAGCGTGCAGATTTTTTTTTTTCAAGACAACTTTTCATGTAAGAAAAGAAAGACAAAAGCATAGAAAATGACATCACTTGACTTCACAGCACCTGTTTTGTCCAGTCAGCTGAGCTCAAACAACACATAATAATAATTAGTATTCAGCTATCGATTTTCATAAGCTTCATGTGAAAACCATCGATTGAGGAGCTCGTGGTCGCATCGACCGTCTCCAAGCAGCACAACTGTTTGTATTGGCTGTGATGTCATCTGACCTGACTGCTGATAGGCTGCTCAGTCAGGTCATTGTCACACACACGCACATGCACACACACACACACACACAAACACATACACTCGGCCTGGCCTGGAGGAGAGCTGAGTTCAGGCCAAAGTGCTTTTCATGGTCGAGCGAGCATCACATAATGGACAGAGAGGAAGAGAGAGAGAGAAAGATATGATCTTTCAGGCTGGGAGTGTGTGTGTATGTGTGTGTGTGTGTGTGTGTGTGTGTGTGTGTGTGTGTGTGCGTGCGTGCGTGCGTGCGTGCGTGCGTGCGTGCGTGTGTGAGTGTGAGTGTGTGCGCGCGTGCGTGCGTGTGTGTGTGTGTCCAGGAGAGAGAGATTTAATCTTTAATCAGTGTTATTGTAGCCTGATATGGACACACAGTATGTAATTACAGCTGTTGTACACACATACACAGGTGTGTGTGTCAGTGTGAGACTGTCTTTCTGTTTCCTCCATGTATCCTGACACAGTTACATGGTCATCAAATTAGGTGTATGTGTTTCCCTTCCCCCTACTTTGGAGTATATTAATCGCATTTTCATTCACATTAATCACGTAAAGTTTCCCGTCCAGCCTGGAAGTCAACTGCACTCAGCGCCAAAACAGCACATTTCTAACAGAACTTCTGCATTGTGTTTGGGCACGGTAATACAAGGAGACTGACATAAAGATGTCATGACAGCATATTTGTGTGGGGGCTAATACATTAAGGGAATAACACCAAATATTAGCAGTGTATTTGAAAAATGTCAAATGTTTCCAAGCAGGGCTGTGTCCCAGTTTAATGACCTGCTGCTGTCTGCTCCACTTTAACTCCTTTACATCTCGCAGCACGTTCTCACTCTGTTGACCGGCAGTTTGACTTTAAAGAAGTGGGTCTGAAATGCTGAAGATGGTCTCAAACTGTTCCAGCTGTATGTGATCAAAGAACCGAAGAGGGTCGAGCAATGTCAAGTGCTTCAGCTGTGAGTTCGCCGGCAGAGGGTGCTGGAAGTACTGCTACGAACAGACCATCAAAAATAATGAAAGTACGTAAGGACTGTTTAATTAAACTGAACATTCAAGATCACAGCTACAACAACAAAACACAGCATATCATACAACCAAGCAATCACCCCAAAGAGTGCTAATAACAAGATAAACTGTTTGCTTCCTTGCCCCCTGGATCCCAAAACCTACCACCAGGTTCCAAAGGCATATCATGTCTACTTTGTCAAATTGTGCCATTTATCAAAGCCAGAAACCGTAGAAACAGTGACAATCTTTTCAACTCTTAGATGGTCCTTCAACTGATAATCTGTGACAAACCTTTCTGGAAAGAAACGTAACAAATTCTAAGCTAAAAATCAGGATATTTAATCAAAATCAATTTATTCTGCAGGTCTCTTTTTTTTAATTACGAAAAATAAACTGTTTACACCAGATTCTACAAAAACTAAAACTTCTCAGTGCAACAGAGGAGCAGTGAGTGACTCAGCTGTAACCAACAGTCACATGACAATAATTTTGTGTCTTTTCGGTTGAACTGCAGGCAGTGTTTACACAGAGTAGATGGGAGACAAGAATGGAAAATTAAGTGTATAAAAGTGCTACAATAAGTACTCCCCTCTTTTTACCCTCAGTTTTGCTAACACTTAGTAGCATTACATTAATCACGGCTTTGTTTATAATGTATGTCATTATAACTTTGTTATACAACAATTTAGAATTTTCTTTACTTCTAGCCATGGTTGTGCTGTTTTGTTGTTGTTGTTGTTGTTGTTGTTTTTGGCCTTTTTTGGCTTTATTAGATAGGACAGAGAGAGAGAGACAGGAAAGTGGGGGGAGAAGAATGGGGGAAGGACCTGCAGCAAAGGGTCATGAGTGGGACTCGAACCAGCGTCAGGGACTATAGCCCTTATACATGTGACTCATACATGGGTTCAACCAGGTGAGCTATAGCAGCGCCCCATGGTTGTTTTGTTTTTATGCAGTTGCAGGAATTATATTACTATGAAAAATGAGTCCACGGTGAAGTAAAAAAAAAAAAAGAAAGAAAGAAAAAGTACAGCAAGAAACTGCTTGGGTTTCAAAGTGTTAAGAAGAATAGCATAACATTTTCATCATGCCAGTATTTGGAGGATATTATAAATACCAAATAAATACTTGTGTTAAGTATGAAGCAGCCACTTCAGCAGTTGGCTATACAATCTACACTACAAATACAATGTTTTGGAATGCAGAGACATTACAATATCTACAGCCATGCTCGCAGTGGGTGAACCAAAGTTTTGGGCAGACTGAAGATTTAATCTGATGATGATGCTACACAAAAAGTTGGAGGATGCAGACAGACATTACAGTTCCTCCTGAGGAGAACGTGGGCATCTAAACCTAATTTCATGGCAATTCATTCAGCAGATGGTTTCGAAATATTATTAAAAATCACAAATGTTAGCAGAATTACTAAAGACTGTAGGATACCGGTGCGGTAAAACTTTCATTTTCACAACTTTGAACTCACCAAACCTTATGGAGACTGCTCGGTCTGACGCATTTAATGGTTACTGAAGGTTTACTTCAAGTCGGCTTCAAACTAACTGAAACCATGTCATGTTTTGTTCAAACAGATGGTCGAAAGGTTGAGTGTAAACTTGTGAAAACGGAAGCAGGCATAACAGCTCAAAAATCAACTTGGCATATCACCAATGGTGATAAGCTAACTTGTCTTGTCTGTCTTGCTGCCCTGAGATCACAAGTTTATACAGTTGTAGTTTCAGTGTTTTGTTATTATTTCAATATAAAATAACCAGGTTAAAATGATTTAATCTGCTGCAAATACTAGCTTTTCATGTTTTATGTTCATTTATAATAATGTGAAGCTTTTCCCCACTGTGCAATCGATTATTTAAAGAGTAGGGACAATTTCAGTTCTTTGTGTAACTACAGTCCAATAGGATACATCATCTGGGAATCATGAATGTCTTCACCAGATTTTGGGACAATCCATTCAGTAGATGTTGAGATATTTCAGGGTTAATTGAAAACTGTTACCTAATTATGGTGCAACATGACATGGCACGTTAGAAGATCAGCAAAGTCAACAGGATTCAACCTCTGGGAACCAAGAAAACTTCCCAACAATCCAGCTAATAATTATATACTTATAAATGAGCTGCTACAACAACAACCAGACTGTGACAATAAAATAAGAGAGGACAGCCGGAATAAAAGCAAAGTCTAATTGCGCAGACATATCATGTACATCAGTGTCAAGCTGACTGTGAGTATTATGGAGTATGGAGTATTGTGGTATAGATGACATCACCAACATGACTGACAGGTGTTGAGGCGGAGCTAACAATACCCGTACAGAGGTTGAGTATAAAACTGCAGCAATGATCTGATTTAACACGGGGTCAGTTTATCCTTTTAGACCTCAATCTGAGATCCAACACACTCACTCACGAACACACACTCAACACACACACACACAGTCTGACCTCTCCCAGGGGACAGCAGCTGTTGATGATGGATGAGCCAAAGTCAATCTCACTCAGCAGACAGTCAGACTTTACAAATTAATGTCCTGTTCAGCTTTGAGTGTCCTTCTGGTTTCTGTGTTTTCTTTCGGGTGATAGAGGTTGCATTAGGAACACTGAGTACAGAATGAGTTATTTCCCTGCATGCAGGTGCTCTTAGCTGTAGTCTTTGCAAAGTGTTCAAATTCATCTTTGAACTGCAGAAGCGAGATAACTAAATGGTTGCAGAGGCAGTCATAGTCTGTGCAGTGGACCAAGAGCGGTAGAAGCATCAGTATCACTGGTCCTACCTGCAGTTGTGCTGGATGGAGCGCTGAGGCCTGGACTGAGGCCAGGAGTCGGAGTTAGTCCTGCAGGCTGAGAGATGAGCCCTGTGGCCTGTGGAAGAGACCTGGTCTGAGCCCCTGCTGAAACCAAAGACAAAACCCATTAGGAGATACAAGAAGTTGACAGCATTAAGGTTCTGCTGCTAGTGTTGTAATGTTGTTATGACTACTACAGTTGCTATGACTAGCACTACTGCTCCTATTGTTGCTATGACTAGTACTGCTGTTACTACTTTTGGTTTTTTTGTTGTTGTTGTTGTTTTTTTGTTTTTTTTTCTGGCCTTTTTGCCTGTATTAGTTAGGACAGTAAGAAAGTGAGACAGGAAAGGGGGAAGAAGAGGGGGGGAGGACCTGCAGCAAACTGTCGTGAGCGGGAGTCGATCTCACGACTGTCACCAATGGTTATTTCTGCGTCGAGGAACAACAGCTCGTGTGCATGGGTCGCCCGCTTAACCAGATGAGCTATAGGGGTGCCCTGTTACTACTATTGTTATGACAATTCTTACAGTTGCTACGACTACTACTGCTGCCATAACTACTACCACTGCTGCTATTGTTGCTATGACTACTACTGCTGTTACTGGTGTTACAATGACTACTACAGTCATTGTAGCTATGACTGCTACTGCTGTTATTGTTGCTACGGCGACTACGACTGCTGCTACTGTTAGGATTACTACAACTACTGGTGTTACTACTGTTGCTTATACTAATAATACTATTATTGTTGCTGTAACTACTACTGCTGCTACTACTACTGTTGCTAGGTCAACTACTGGTACTGTTAGTGTTGCTATGACTACTACTGCTGTTACTACTACCAATGCTAGGACAACTACTGCTGTTGATGTTACCCCTGCTATGACAACTCCTACGGCTTCTATTGTTGCAATGACTATTACTGCTGCTAATAGCGGTGGTGTTACTACTGTTGCTATGACTGCTACTGCTGTTATTGTAGCTATGATTCTTGCTGTAACTACTATTGTTGCTATGACAATCACTGGCTCTACTAGTGTTGCTTTGACTAAGACTGCTGCTATTGCCGCTACAGCTTGTACTGCTATTACTACCAACACTTACCATGAAAACATTTTTTTTTTGTTATTGTTCCTTTATTTTAATCTTTTTTAAAACTAACATTTCGGTCTCCGAGGTTCTGCTTACACTCATTTACCACTGCTATACTACTGTTATATACGCTCATTGTAGCATCTACTCATGTAGCTACTGTTGTAACTGCTGCTACAGCAGTAATGTACCTGCCGCCTGCTGTCCTGTCTCTCCAGGCTGGAGTTGTCTCACTCTTCGGAGGTGAGACTTGCCATTGTAGTGCAGCTGAGCCTGAGCAGCAGAGGTCAGCTGCAGGTTACACACCTCACATAATGAGTACGCTCCACCCTGACCTGGGAAAAACACAACAAGGATGAGTCTGAGAGTACGAAAAAACTATAAGGATTAGTTGGGATGTCAGATGATATAACAGATGCTGTGTCAGAGGTCAGTCACCTGGAGATGGAGTCTGCTGGACAGAGAGACTGATGGTTGTAGGTGTCGGTGAGTCCATCAGCTCTTGACACATCCCCCCAAAGGCCAGGATCTGGCCACTCTCCAGGAGCTGAGAGGAGCTGAGAGGAGTCTTCATCCTCGAGGAAGAAGAGAAACAGACATGAATGACAATCACTCATACTGGACATTCTTAATATTCATTTAAAGGTAAAATATTAGGACTTTTTTCCCAATAGAGGGTTTCTTGTAGCTTGTTATCCGTATTGCACCATTCACTTATATTCAAGCTCCTTTGGGCAAGTACAAACTGTTCAGAGAAGAGAAATAGTTTGCTAGTTGATACTACATATACTGCATGTCGCTTGAATAAACGTAATGACCCATTTACAACCGCGTTAACAACATCCTAACTAATAATCAGAAAGCTCATTAGCTTTAAGATCTTATTTCCTTTCCTCTCATTTAATAAATCTTGTAAATGAAATTCTGTACAGCCAAAAGAACAAAATGCCTGGAGGGAGTAAATGGCTCCATAAAGAAAGTAATATAGTTTTGTATGCAAGACTGAAGATGAAGTTAATTTAATGTTTTAATGTTTATCATCTGCTAATTTACTGGAACACGTTTTAGTAAAAGTTTCATTTCTGAATGGATTATTATTAAAACTTGGGTTTGTTGGAAGGAAACATCATGTTAATGTCTGACAAATATTTTATTACTGCAGCAGTATGTTTACAGTGTTTTATGAGTCAGTCTTTGCTGGGCACTTGTATTATGTATGACGTAATTATTACCAGAAAGAAAAAAACATAAAGACATCGTTAGAGAGTTTTTGTGATTTACTTGCCAACTAACCCGTTAAGGAGACACAAAGTCACCAAACTTCTGCAGCCAAACATTTTGCAAATAAGCGCAAATGAATTTCACAAAAAAACAGAATGGGATTTCCTAAACACAACAATATATGTAAATATAAGAGATTTTCTTTGCAAAGACTTAAACAAAGAAATCCTGACAAACATAACAAAATAACAATAAAAGCGCTCCATTGTGACTGAATGGTAAACAACAGTGATTCAACACTACATACAGTAATAGTATGAAGGTGACACCAAACGTCCACGTGACCCAAAAGGAGACACTCACTGACAGACGGACGACGCAAGTGACGCCCGAATGGCACCGGACGCAGAGTGTGAAGCATCAAATGCTCACAGGGAGAGTGATGAAGTAATGAGTAAGAGGAGGGAGGAAGGATGACATATGTGTGTGCGTGTGTATATATGTGAACGTTTGAGTGTGTATATATGTGTGTGTGTGTAGGTCGGCCCATGACTGTGTCCATCTGTTGTCCTGTCAGCGCTGCCAAGTCACATGACCTCTGACAGGACGCACACCCACTCATTTTCTCCTCATTCAGTTTGGTTTATTGGCGTGACGCACATTACGACTGTATATACAGTATTTAAATTCACTCTGGGGATTTGGATCAGCTCGTTAAGGCATTAATGGCACAAAACCAATTGTTGCCTAATGATATTTTACTTCATACGACAATAAAGCAGCTGCTGCTCGTAAGTTACGCTCCGCAGAGGAAATCAAGGTCTCTACCTCTCTGCTATCGACATTATTTTGTGATTTTGTCCCCATTTTTGTCTGCATCTTTGGTGCAGTGTTTAGCTGCTGATTGCCGTAATAAAGAAACATCTTCATAGAAAGCCGACATGAAACCAGAGAACCATTGACATTCATATTAATATGAATATCTAAAAATCCAGCCTTCCTCTGCTGTGTGCAGCAGGATTTGCTCAATATGTTTCGATAAGGAGGCTCATTTTTCTGTTTTAGCTGCCTTTAACGACCTGCATTTCTCATAAGTGGAGGACAATAACATGCTGAATCTCACATTATGAAAAAACATGAGTGAATGCTGTGAAAGTTTTTAGACAGCAGAGAACCCTGGAAAAGTTTACATACATGAGCAAATGTTGCAACTGGAAACTGTCATTAGCGATCTAGTTTTTATTTAATGCTAAACTTATTGCCGTTAAACTAGAAAGCTAGAATGCTGAATGAGATATTGAATTTCATCAAGGTGACTAGTCTCTGTCGACGATATGAAGTTTAGGAAAAAGTTCAATAAAGCCCTCTTCAAACATCTTCGTCTGTTTTTGAGACGTAGGCCACCTTTACATTAAGGTTTGGATCTTTGTTCATAAATAGCCAAGATACACTAACAATATTTTGGACAGTACATCAAGTGGCATAATGCATCAATAAACTAAAGACAAAATCTAGTCATTCCTCTTCACTGACTCTTCACCACTGATCTTTGTGTTCACTGTTTTAAGATAATCAGTCCAAACCTTCAGCTCATGAACATGCTTCTCATCATCAGAGCTGAATCACCAAAAACCTCAAACCAATTATGATGCACTTCCTAATGACTTCCTTACTGACGTATTGTAACTCAATGAGCCTTTAAGAAACACTGAAACAGGGCGGGCGATTTACATCTGCGACACTACAGCTAAAATACTAAGAATACTGAAGCAGCTGCATTTTGTGTCTTACAGTGTTTATTTTTTACAATAAATCCAAATCAACAGTGAACTGACCTCTCTTCATTCATTCAGAAATAAAGCTGTGAGTCTGACACACTGCAGTCACACTCTGCAGATGATAAAAATTATAGGAAACTGGAAGAGCAGTAAAAGAACAAACTCAATTTTACCTTTTTTTGCCACCTAATGCCATTATGGTTTACTTATTTTGGAGCAGGTGCACAATAATCAGCAGTCAAATAGCTAAAATTACCCAGATGCATTCTGCATGTTATGGAGTACACTACTGAGCTTCTATTGAAATTAGAAAAAGTAAATGTAATAAAAGAGAGAAAAGTGCTATATCCTGTGTGATTTTCTAAGTGAGACTTTTTTTTTTACAAAATGTTATTTCTGGAGAAGTCTTGGTTTCACTTCAGCTCTCTACAGAATCAGGTGCCGAGGCTCATGGGTATAATATTATTCAGGGTCAGCCAAGCAAAACAAAAGAAAAACACTGACTTTGTTTGGAAGGAAGGTGAAACAACCTATAGCACAAAGATGGTCGTCTCTCTTCCAGCTGGTTGTTAGTAGTTCACTTTATGTTCAGCAGACAGCTGGTTAATCTGCCACTGTGATGAATTAGCTACAAAATGCAGACACACACACACACACACACACACACACACACACACACACACACACACAGAGCCAGCTGATGCTGACATCAGCTACAGCGAGGGAAGGATTAAATATATCTGCTCTATTGAGCTGCGAATTACACACACATAGGTAAATACATACACACACTCGCACTGACACACACACACACACACACACACTCACACATATGGTAAGATGCAGGCAAAAAAGGAGGAAGTCAGTGAACTGAGCGTTCAAGATCAACCTGAAATGAAATGTGCGAATAACCTTTATGGATGTAATGTGTGTGTGAGTCTAATCCAGGCTGACCAGGCAGTCAGTAATCAGAGAGGCCAGCTGTGGGTTATAATCCCACACACACACACACTCACGCGCACACACAGCAGTCAAACAACAATGTACTTCATGACTGAAGAGGAAAAGCTGAAATATTTTCAGAGCGTCTCAAGAATCTCAGGAAGGAATTGTGTCCATCATTTCAGACTTCAAAGAATCACCTGACTGAGTTTCAGCCTCGTCTCCATGTCTTTAGCATCATCATGACAGCAGTCCATCACCTGCCAGAGAGTGAATGTCAAACTGTGTCTCGACAACTAAATCCGGATGTGACGGACTGTCATGGATGTATTAGGGACAACTGGATGCTGAACCGCAGTTTGTTAGCACTGTTACCTCGCAGCTAGAAGATTGCCGGTTCGCGTCCCGGTGGGGGCACCAGGATTTTTCTGTGTGGAGTTTGCATGTTCTCCCCGTGCAGTGTGGGTTCTCTCCGGGTTCTCCAGCCTCCTCCCACAAGTCCGAAAACATGCTGAGGTTAATTGGTGATTCTAAATTGTCCGTAGGTGTGAATGTGAGTGTGCTTGGTTGTCTGTCTCTAAGTGTAGCCCTGTGATAGACTGGCGACCTGTCCAGGGTGTCCCCTGCCTTCGCCCTAAGTCGGCTGGGATAGGCTCCACTCCCCCCGCAACCCTTGTGAGGATTAAACGGTGTATAGATAATGAATGAATGAATGAATGGATGGATGGATGGATGGATGCTGAATTCAAACATGGTGCCTGCTGCAAAAAGGTTTGTTTATACACTTTGTGGTCCACTACACGTGAGCATCATGGGTTATACACAAAGGAAGAGACCAGCAGCAATGTGGTGCTTGTGAAGTGACTGTGAAGTTCTGTGACATGTAGCAATGACAGACGAAATAACCATTGGTGACATGAAGTGGGCAAGCACAGAGTTCAACGAACATGCATGCTTTAGGAGGTGGCTGTGTAACATGAAGCCTAAACCCAGTGTCAAAGCTGCTGGTGGATGCACAGACATAACTTACTACAAAAGGGGAAAATGAATATTAAGGAAGCATTTTGCTGCAGAAAAATGCCAAATTCAGTTTTCCCCATTGCAGCTCCACTCACCATTATGTACTACCGCTAATAGTATTCCACTGCTGTTGGGTAAAAACCTTTTTAAGTGCAAAATGTATGTCAAATATTCGGGAACGACTGGGCATTTGTGTAAATGTTCAGTGGCGTATGAAATCTTTTATGAGCCATTATTCTGGTCTGAAGAGTCTTTTTCAACCCACAGATGCCCTTCGACCCATGTGACAACACGGAAAACCACTAAACACAGACATACAAGCTTTTCCCCGTCGCATATCTTCTAATCTAATCTTCTCTCGCTTGCGTGTTGTCTTTATGTCGGCGAGCGGACGAACGATGGGGCTCATTTGATTGGTTGAAAAGCTCTAGATCCTGCCGGTGCTGCAGATAAAGAGACGGGGGGCACTAATGTATGTCGCTGTTCCCTGAAAAATACTGTACAACACACACGCACATAGACACACACAAACACACACATACAGAGTAACCTGAGGGGACAATGAGACAAAGAAACTAATGGAGATGTGAAAAGACAGAGAGGGAGGTCTGAG